CCCTCTCACACGAGGTCCCGACCACTTAAAGCGGCGGCGGCGGCTGCGTCGGTGGGGGGCGACTTGATGACGGATCCCACCGAGTCAATCTCACCCCCAAAATAGCCCAATGAATGACGAGCAGCCCGCGGCGCGCCGGTGGCGACTGCGGCGGGCGCGGGCGGGCGGGCCGCAGGGGGAGGATCGCAGTTGATGCGGAAAACTACAATCTCGGTGGGTTGACGCCCCCGCGCCGCGCCGCGCCGCGCCGCGCCGCGCGAAGGGCGCGCGCCCGGGCGCCTCTCTCCTCGGGCGGAGCGCGCGACGACGCGGCGGCGGCGGCTGCGGCAGCGAAGGGCGCGCGGCAGCGGGGGCCGCGGGTGAGAGATCTGCCGCGGGGGGCGGCAAGCAGGGCCGCGAACTGCTTTCATGAGCCGAGATGCGGAGGGGATGACGGAAGTCTTGCGCTAAACGCCCACCGCTGTTTTGGCATGGGTGGTGTACAACGGGGCCGGGTCAGAATTGTATTTTTAGTGATAGATAAAGTGAATTTCATTGTTTTTTATGTTAAGAGAGTAATACTTTTAATATTTGTTTGTTTGTTTTTTGTTATAATGGTAGTTCTTAAAATTTCACAGTATATGTGGATTCGGACATAATATTTTAAATAACTTGAGCTTCATCGGTTTGTTTAACAAATATGATCGTTTCCAAGGATTTAATTAAGAACCGATCTTTTATGATACTAATTTAAACATGTTTCTAAAATTTGCATCATGCGTAGCATGATATTTAAATTATTCTTGGAAGGCACATTTAATTATGAAGTTAATTGTGAATATTACTACATAGTAATGTGAGGGTTTTAGTGGAGGGGTTTTCAATCCCTTCACGAGCGATGCGTCAATCGAGCGTTAGATTTCGCTCCAGAATTTTCGGCGGATTTGCCGAGAGGATGCGCGCGCGGGCTGGCCGCAAACGAAGCCGCCGCGGCGGGGAGGAGCTGCGCGGAGCGGAGCCGAGAGGGAGGTGCGTGCGAGGGGTGTGGCGGGCTGCATACAGGAATTGGTTTACCAGCGCGGCGGGTCCCCTCACCGCGGCGGCGGCAGCAGCAGCAGCAGCAGCCGCCATCGCGCCCCCGCGCCCCAGCGCGTCTTCCCTTGTCGCCTTCCCTCGCAGTCTCCCGCCCCCGCGCTCCCGCCCTAGTCTTCGCCCGCGCCGCGCCTCCTCCCGTCAGTCATTAGCACATATTTGTTGCCCCGATATAAATAAAGCGCATCTCCAGGAATAGCGCGTCCCCGCGGGATGTCGGGTTCTTCTGCCCTACATACAGGGTTGTTTTGGGGAGGCGCGACGCGGGGTAATGTGGATTTGAAGACGGCGACTGCTTGCCGCGTGGTATTGAGGACGAAAGTTAATGACAACCTGATCTTGGAATGCACGTTGAATTATGTAGGCAATTGTGAATAGTACTATGTAGCAATGTGAGGGTTTTAGAGGAGGGGTTGCCTATTCCTTCACGAGTAATAAATTTAGGTAAATGTAGGGAGTAAAGTAAATTCCCAGTAAATTTAGGCAGATTATTATTGTTATTATTATTATTATTATTATTATTATTATTATTATTATTATTATTATTATTGTTACCATCATCATTAGTGTCATGTTTACGAAACGATGCTAATGTGTTTTAAACGAGTTGAAACGCATTTTTGAGTGACTGTTGCAGTTCACGCGATGTCTGCGGTGGTAAAAAAATCGAATTGAATGAAATTTTATTCAAAGTATTAAAAATTTACATAATTCTGTTGGTCGTAATAGCATAATTTAGGTTTTCTGGTAGAAAACAATGCGTCTCCGAGTAGGGGACGCTGTTTTTATTGCAGGAAACAATCGCTGGTTTCCCGGCCTCCCATTGACGAAACAGTAGCCATAATAAAATGACTAAGATTTGATAGGAATGAAAAATGGAACGGTAAGCTCCCGCTATCGCTTTCTGGCGGCGACCGCACGCAAAGGAATATTTTTTCCGAAGCCGACAGTCGTCGGAACGGCGGCGCCGGCCTCCGCCGCACGCCGCTGCCATCATCGATCGGCAAGAACCCCAACGCAGGCTGTTTCCCCAATGAGTGAAAAGAAAATGGGGAAACTTTGTTAGCCAATGAGCGGTGCGCATGCGCGACGGGCCCCGCGCGGGGTGACACATGCTCGCGCCGCCGCCACCGCCACCGCTACCCTCTCGGCTGCCCTCACCGCCGCCGCCGGCTGCTGCGGGCAGCATCTCGGAGGCTCCTGAACGCCGAGAGCCATGTTCTCGACGCCCTTCAGCGAAATGGGCGCTGCTGCTCGAGCACACATTCGATCGTTTCGTTAAAAATTCTTTAACGATTATTAGACATTGTCGTATCTTTGCATGGTTTTGTGTTGCTCCTCCCCATGATATTATTTAGGAAGTATTATAATTATGTAATTAATTTCGGAAACAAAATGTTTCAAATTAATTTACACTTTTTGAAGTAGTACGTTGCATTAACTCTCTCATCTTCTTTCATTTGTCGTTATCAAAGCTGAATTATGAACAATGTGGTGTGTCCCGTTATGTCAATATTTGACATTAATATTATTCAGCAAGTCATGATATTATATTTTGGCATTAACAGTGTGGAAGTAATTATTCATGGAGTGTCAGATATGATACTATCATTTGACAGTGTGCATTTTTTTCTCGTTGAATACTTCAAACGTTTCTTCTAAATTAGAATTTGAATGGATACATTACAATTTTAATATGGTAATATTTTATTGAGTGCCCAAGGATTCTTGGAAATTTTGTCGCCGCGCAGAGAAAAGTAAGATGGCGGCCTCCTATGATGGAAAAAACGCAAGTAAAACGTCCTCAACATTCTTCAAGCGGAAACAGCGCTTTCCAGCTTTTTAGAGAAGTTTATTCTCGGTCGTGAACTCTTCACCTTCCCTCTCGACCGCGCTCTCCCTTTCGATTCTTCGATTTGGAGGGTCGCGTCGCGTAACCTGCGTATCGCCGGCAGGCCGAGGGCCCACGCGCGCGGAGCCCCTCTGCGCGCGCAGATCTCGGTTTTTCTCTTCTCCGCTCTCTCCCTCTCGCTGTCGTTAGGGCGCGCAGGCCCTGCGTCGCCGGCCGCCTCTGCGCTCCGCGTCGCGCGCCGCGCGAGAGGTGTTGTTTCCAATTAATTGACGCATTGTGCCTCCATCAATGGAGGAGGAGGAGGAGGATAAGCGGTTCTACCGGTTCCAAAGTTACTAATTAGCGAAGTTTTATCCGGCCATACTTCGCTTCCTGCCGGGCCTCCCAGCGCGGTGTTAAATGCGATAACGGGGCAAAGGTAACCCTGGCCGGGCGCGGAACCGGAGAGAAATTTTTGGGTCCGGCGCTGTTGATGAATCACGAGATATAGTTGATGGCTCCATTTGTCGGAGTTGAAATGCATGTGTTTTTCTCTTTCAAATTATTTGTAAAATTGTCATATCAGTAATGTTCTTGCCGTGTGTCCCTGTCATTTTGGATAACATTTGCCCAAGTGTAAGTTGAAAACTCATTCTCATTATTAATAAAAGCTCTGCATTACAATTAATGTAGGGGCTTTCTATGAAATGTGGAATTCTGGAGGCATTTCACATGCATTTTATGTATCTTCTATGTGAGGTTTAAAAACAATCGCACCATAGGGCACACAATGACACCCATTTAATTGAGAAAAATCTTAGGTGTTCAGAGGACGTTACATGCTGTGGTTAAGCAACTCAAGACAAACAAGAAGTAGATAGCGTGTCGAAGCAGTAGTGAGAAGAACACATTCTATTGTACGACAGTGAATCAGCGAGATTTTCCGAGAAGATTTCCAGCGCCGCGCAGGGGTCAATTATAACGCTGCCGTTGCTATCGTCCGCGCGCCCTCCGGATGGAAGCGGGTCGACGCTGACCCGCGCGCGCGGATCTCCCTTGGCGCGGGCGCAGCGGAGAGGGAGCGCGCTCCGCCCACGCGGCCCGACCCGGCCCGGCCCGGCTCTGCCGCACGCGCCACGCGCCCCGCACGGCACGTCCACGGCGTCGAGGCGCGAGGAAGGCCCGTCGCTCTCAGCGGGAGTGGGCCACGCCGCCCGTTCCGCCCGCGCCACGCACAACAGCCGGCATTCTATTTTTGAGGGCGCCGCCCCCTCCTCCCACTCGCCCCCGCCCCCGCCTCCCCAGCCCGCGCCGCCCCCGCGCGGCGCTGGCGGCCCGAGCAGCTGACTCCCTCCGCCGCCGCCGCCGCTGTCACGGACCGCGCCGAGGGTCGCCGGTCCCGACCCCAGCTGCCCGGCCACGCGTGTTGCCGGACGCGTTAACGACCCGGCTGCCCCGCCGCCCGCTGCCTGCCCGCCCGCCCGCCAGGCAGGCAGGCCGGTCGGCCGGCCACGCGGCGCAAACGGTCGCGCCCCGGTCGATGGGCCTCGGGAAAGGGAAACCGAATGGAGTTCGTGTTAATTGCGCGATCTCGCCTCGGTGAAAGGCCGCGTCTTCCATCGAACTAATGATACGGTTCACGCCAGTTTACGCGTTGTCTTCATTGCCATGAGCGCCGCTTGCCATTGAGCGTAAACGCAGGTTTGTTTCGAAACGCTGTCAGTGAAACACTCCTAGCTGTCTGTTCTGGTCCTTTGATGCGGCCCATTTTAGGGCTTTGTTCATCTTTTGATAAGCCATGGTAATGGTGTAGAGGTAATGCGAGTTCATGCTCGCCGAATGTAAATCTAAGTATGAATTATTTTTACTTCTTTAAAAAAAGTAGGATAAGCGATTTTATCGAAATCAAATTTCTCCTGCTTACAATGTGTGCAAAGATAAAGGACCAATACGACTCGTTATTCACCGTATCTTCCATGATGTCTGTATTCTAAAGGGGCGCTGAACATTTTTTCATTGAAGCAAGGATGCGTCCACGGGCTGAAATGATGGTTACATCCGCGCAGGACGCGATCATAGGACTCTTTTATTCAAGCAGTCGACGAACACCAACGATATACGCCAGTATTTGGCAGCACCGCTTCTCACGCACGTACGAGCGTGCATTGCTCGGTCGTTTATTCTCAAAATAGGTCACTGGGAAGCGTCCGCCTCACGAGAGCACAGGTGCTCGCTCACGTCGAGCGCCGTTCTTCAACGCGCGACCCGAACGTCCGCGCGCGATCTCAGGTGCGTGTTCTCCTCGCACACGCTGCGCCGCCTTCTTTCGCTCAGGGAAGTCCGTGTTCCAAAAAAATAAAATAAATTTTTTTTTAAAAAAAGAAGAAGAAAAATCCCTGCATTCGTCTTTTCCTCTCGTCCATCGGTCCGCGCCGGTGCCGGTCGGCAGACGCGTCGGCATCTGCGGCGCCTGCTCGGTTCGTTAGATAAGGCACGGGCCGCGGCGACGCGACGCGACGCGACGAGCGGCTTTGGCACCGCCCCAGCGCCCTCGATTCTCGGCCCTCGGCGCCGAGTGCCCACCTGGAAGGCGGCGCGGCGCAGTCCCGCGTCCGCGTGGCGACCCGGGCCACGCGCTCCACTGAAGACTGGTTCTGTTCTTCTTCGTCGTCG